TTCAGGTCCGTCAGTTGGTCTTTCGGCGTCACAGTCGAATCCCCACCCACCTCCCGATCGGCTGTCCTCGTCCCCCTCCCCCGTGGGCGTTGTCAGAGCGCCTCCTGCCCAAGCTGCAGTTTTTGTCTGAGCATGGCTCCTCTCAGGAGGCCTGGGCTCTCATGAATGAAGTGTGGTCTCTCTTTGCCAATGCTGCCGAGCAGGAGCTACTTGACGTTTGCGATCTCCCCACCACCCGTGCGGGGTGGCGAGGAGCTCGCGTGCAGTCAGTCTGGGAGCCTATCGTCCATCGCCGACAGGAGCCCGATGATGGCACGCTGGTGGCTAACTGTTGGCAATGGATGTGCGGTATGCTCAGTGAGTTTTTGTCTCTCACGCGTCGTGATGATGTTGATTGGGTCTCGGGTGAAGGCGCTCACCATCTCCTGGCGGTGCGAGTTTCGCACGCGGGGGAGGGCTTGTGCGCCCGCCTGGACCGCTCGCTGGCGTCAGTACGCCTCCTGCTCACTCAATGGTCTCCGCATTTGCCTGGGGACAGCGAGTGGTGGGATACTGCTGATGCGCTCGCGGAGGAGCTCGCCACGGAATGTGATGAAGTCCAGGCGGAGCACTCCAAAGCCAGAGACCGCTCCTGGAAGGAGTGGCACATCTTGGCGCTCAGCGGCTCGGCCAGGCGCATGCATCGCCTGACCCGCATCAAGAAGCTGTGGGAGCCCACGGTCTCCTCCTCGGTCCCTGGGTCGTTTACGTCTGAGCCGTGTCAGTTAGTACAGGAGGAGACCGTGAAGCTCGGAGGTTTTTGGCATGCGGAGGTGGAGCCTCCTGAGGCGTGGATTCCCGATCGCGAGGCTCTGGACGCTCTCACGTGTGTGCAGTTGCGTGCGGCGGCTCGGACTTTCTCGGAATCCACGGCCCAAAGCCTAGACGGTTTTCACCCACGGCATGTCGAGATGCTCAGCGACACAGCGCTCGTGCAGCTCAGTATTATTTTCACGTGCTCGGAGCGCCTCGGCTTGTTTCCTGCCCAGCTCCTCTGGCTCCTCTTTCCACTGCTTGAGAAGCCGCAAGGCGGCTACCGCCCAATTTTGCTCGTTGCGTCCTTTGTGCGAGTGTGGGAAAAGGCACGCCGCCCTCTTGTGGAGCCCTTCCTGGAAGCGTCCTCCCGCAAGTACTGGTCCTTTGGAAAAGGCAGGGGAGCTGAGGAGGCAGTGTGGCTTGCGGCGGTCCGCGCTGAACGTGGCCAGGCTATCGACCAAGAGACGGCGGGGTTTCTGTGGGATGGCCTCAAGTTCTATGAGTCGTTTAACTTGGAGCTCCTGCGTGATCGTGCGCTGGCGTGCGGGCTCCCGCGGCCCCTAGTCAAGGTCCTGTTCAACTTCTGGAGGGGGCCCCGCCTGGTTCGACTGGGAGCCCATCACTGTCCTCTTGTGCAGTTTGCCCGCTCTGGGTTGCCAGCTGGCGACGTGTTCAATGACGCCTTCGTGCAGATCTACCTCCTCGGGGCCCTAGATGGTTTCGTGGCGCGGCACCCCCGCTTGGACCTCGGCGTGTACGTTGATGACGACTGCGTTTCCATGACGGGCCCCCGACAAGACCTCGTACCAGCCCTCGTGGAGGCCGCCCAGGACCTCGTCACCGTTTATAGGGAGGAGCTCCAGGTTGGCCTCGCCCACGACAAGGCGGTGGTCTTTGGGTCTTCCCATGATGTCGTTCGTGACCTCGATCGACGGCTTGCTCGTATCGGTGCTCGCTCAGCGGCTGCTACGACCTCTGCCACTGCGCTCGGTGCTGACTTTGCTCCTGCTCGTCCTCGTGCTGCGCCTGGCGCTACGTGTCGGATGAAGAAACGGTTTCGAGCTATGAAGAGACGTGTTGGCTTCCTGCGTTCGCTACGACGACGGCTCTCTGTTGGCAAGGCCAGACTTCACAAGATATATATATCTGGAGTGCGCCCTGCGACTACGTACGGCTCCCTCGTCACTGGCATGACGGAGAGAGAGTTGTTGGTTTTACGACGTGCCCTCGTCCCGTTCCGAGGAGGCTCGCTACCCGCTCGTATGCTCCTGTATGATGACCCAGCGTGGAAGGTAGCAGTGGCGCCCGTCATTCAATATTCCAAGGCAGTATGGAACTCAATTGTGCATCCTGATCGTGTTGTGCTCTCGTGGAGGTTCTTGCAGAAGACGTGGGATGCTGTAGCCGCGAAGTCTCCAGTCTTGCAGCAGTCGCAGTGGAATAAGAGTGCAGGCCCCATTCACCGTGCCATGTTGTGTTTGCATCGCCTAGGATGGAAGTTCACCAACTTTAAGACCTTCTTCGATGACAACCAGATAGAGCATGATTTGTTTTTCACCTCTCCTGCCTTGCTTGCCAAGCAGTTGCATGCTAGTATTCTTCGCCATCATGGCCGTTGCTTTGCTGCCACTCTAACGCAGGGGCAGGGGCAGGAGGTTGCCGCAGATTTGATTGTCCAAGCTGTCCGTTCTAAGAAATTCTCGGCGCTGCAAAAGCATGTTGTAGCCTCCGTCTTTGCTGGGGGCATGTGGACCGAGGACCGCCTTGTGCAGCATGGCTTTGAATCAACAGGTCTATGCCCCTTGTGCTCCCAGCCAGATTCAATTCATCATCGTCTCTGGTGCTGCCCTGCTGTGGCCGCCGCTAGGGATGAGGCGACGTCGGCAGAGATTGCAGCTGATGCGCGCGAGGAGCCCGGAGATCTCCTGTGGTCCAGGCTCCTGGTGTTCCAACCTCGCCCCGACGAGTTCCCTCCTCCCTCCTCTGAGTTGTTCCCTGTCTTCCAGGATGCCCAGGGCAACCCTGTGTCCCAGGAGACCTTCCAGGAGCTCAGCGCGGGATGTGATGTTTGTGTTGACGGCAGTGCAACTCGAACTGAATTCGCCCGTCTCAATCGAGCGGCTTATGCCGCGGTCTTTCTGGAGAATTCTGAGCAGTGCGAAGTCCGATGTAGGATGCAGGGTGTGGTGTGGGAGTCCTTACCCCAGACGGCGCCGTCCGCCGAACACCTTGCCCTAGCTATGCTTTCCATCTTCCAACGGGGCCCAGGGACCACGAGGCCGTTTTCCGATTGTTTGGGCGCTGTGCGCTTGACTCAAAAGCCTGCCCCCGCCCAGCTTAACGGTTCCCAAGTTTTTGCTGGTCTGCGCCGTGGTGCGCTCCAGCATCCAGGGCACGCACACATCGGGCACGTTAGTCATACCCGTGCCCATCGCTCTGAAGAAGTCATCTCCGCGCTCCCACCTGATGAGGAAAGGATCGCGCGTGGCAACCAGATGGCCGATTTGTTAGCCAAGGATGCCCTTTCCCTCCACCCCCGTGCCCCTCCCGCCACCTCGGAGTTGCATGGGCTTATGGTCAAACGCCTCCGCGCCGCCATTCGTGTGGCGGCGGCGGTCCTTCCCGCTTTCCCGCTCCCATCCTTTAAGAAGATCAAGGTGCCGAGCATAACGCGTGTTGTGTCGTGGCACGAGTGGTGTCGTGTGGGGAGTTGGAAGTTGCGTTGTGCTCGGTGCCTTGGGGCTTGCCCTGAGCAGGACGAGCGACCCCTCAATCAGTGCCCAGGCCCCCCTCCGCTCCTTGTAAAGTTGCGTGAGTGTGAAGGGGTGGGCGGCCACGTCCTGAGGGCGTGCTGGACGGCACGCGATCAGGTCCTAGTGTATTGCTGTAAATGCGGGGCCTATGCAGAGGAGAGGTCGAGTGGCGCCCTCTTCAAGACTTGTCGCCCTGCCTTGACGCCCCAGCGGGCGTATGATCGACGGCGCCTGGAGGCTGGGCTTCACCCGCACTCGCGTCGGCGTGAGGAGACCCTCCAGGCGCCGACCCCTCTCGAGTCCGACCTCATTCGGCGGTTGGTGGGTGGGACGGCTGGGTGGGCGGACGTCTCCTCCTCCTCCTCCGTCACTGCTGCCATCATTCGGAATCCTCGAATGGATGCGCTCGTGGCCCGTTTGCAGGCCAAGTTTTGGCAGTCGTCTTCGGGCTCGTAAGCCCTGCTCGGCGCGGGTCGGATTCGAGTTTTGCCGCCTTTTTGGCGTGTCGGATCCGTTCCTCCGTGTCGTGTAGGCCGCCCGTCGCCGTACCGTTGACGTTCCTTCTTGTTTGGGTCCTCCTCCTCCTCCTCCTCCTCGTCCTCCTCCACCTCCCTCCTCTTGCCTCTTACCTTTTGATCCTCCTCCTCATCCTCCTCCTCTTCCTCCTCCTCCCCTTCCTCCCCCTCCTCCTTTGCAGCAGTTTGCATGGTTCGTGGGGTTGAAGTCCCAGGAACGGTATCCTGGCACGGTGTAGCGATGTAGGATTTCCAGGACGCAACAGTCACGTAGATAAGCGGCGTTGACGTCCCAGGAAAGGCGTCCTGACACGATTGGATATTATCAGACGATGTGTTTTTCAATGGGGCACTCCGGATAATGGCAAGACATGCTTGTAGGAACATATGAACAGGGATTGCGGAGGGGGGGGGTAGCCCAACGTGGTTGGTTCGATTGGGTTTTGCAGTAGTACTTTTCCTCCTCCTCCTCCTTCTCCTCCTCTTCCTCCTCCTCCTCCTCCTCCTCCTCCTCCTCCTCCTCCTCCTCCTCCTCCTCCTCCTCCTCCTCCTCCTCCTCCTCCTCCTCCTCCTCCTCCTCCTCCTCCTCCTCCTCCTCCTCCTCCTCCTCCTCCTCCTCCTCCCCCCAGTCTCCCCACTCCCCACTTTTCCTCCATCATAAGGTTGGGCGGGGGGGGAGACAGGGGAGGGGCCGGGGAGGGGACGGGTGGACAGGGGGCGGGGATGGGGGCGGAGGGAGGAGAGTGGAGGGGCGGGGATGTGGAGAAGCAGGAGGAGGGAGAAGGCGAGGGGGTAGCGGCGGCAGGAGGCAGAGAAGACGGGGAGAGAGCGGGAAGCACAGGGGGTGGCCGTCTGGGGGTCAGCGGGACGGGGGACAGGGGGGAAGCCGAGGTAGAAGAGGGAGAGGCGGGAGGGAGTTGAAGCCTGGGTGGGGTAGGAGGGGCTCGCGCTGGACGACACCCTCTGCGGAGTGGCCGGCGTGGACCGGCCCGGGGACAAGCCCACGCTGGCGCTGGAGCTCACGGGCTCGCCGGCCCCGCCGCCGGAGCTGGAGAGACTCGAGGATGCCTTGCCCTTGGAGCAGCACGAGAGGTCCGCGAGGCGTCCGGACTGAGCGAAGCGAAGTAGGAGGGGAGGGCTGTTGCCTCAGCAGCAGCAGCAGCAGCAGCAGCAGCAACAGAATCGGAGGGCACCAACTATACACCAACACCGATCCTGGCCCAGGATCACCCTGTGCCCAGGATCGGTGTATATGCCTTCTTGCGCAAGGCAGGAGGGCGTATACACCGATCCTGGGCCCAGGGTGATCCTGGCCAGGATCGGTGTTGGTGTATAGTTGGTGCCTTCCTACAGAAGGGCGAGGAGGGTAAAGGGTCCATGGGGACGAGGCAGGGGGAGAGCGGGAGAGAGAGGAGCGGTAGGAGAGGGGAGAGGAGCACTGGCAGGGTGAGGAGCAGCAGCAGCTGGGGGCGACGGCAGCGACGGCGACGACTACGACGACGACGGCGACGACGACGACGACGACGACGACGACGACAACAACACCAACAGCAGCAACAACAACAGCAACACCCATTTTCAGCCAATTTCTCTTATTTGCTCGCGTGCCACTCAACATGAGGATCCCAAATCTTCCATACCCGCCCTCTTCGCCTTCGATCGTACCCCCCTTCAGCGTACATCTTCCTTGCCTTCCACGCGTAGTTGGTGCAGCCCCTCAAACAGGGGAAGGGAGGGAGGAGGGGAGGGACAAAGGGGAGGGGGAGGTATGGAGCACGTGGGAGATTAGCAGGAGGTGGTTTAGGAGCAAGACAACAGAAAACAGGTGGCAGAACCAAACGAGCGGATCGAGCGGGTGGATCCTAACGAGGGTTGGGTGGGCGGGCCCGAGTGGGCGGGTCGCTGAAGCGTCAGTCCTGCATGATTCGACGAAAGGACAACACGAGCGATATTCCCAAGTAGGTCGCGAGGATGCTCAGAGTGAGAGCGTGATTCCTGAGTATCGAGGGCGTGGCGTCTGAATAAAATCGAGGAAGTCCTACACGAGAACGCGATTCCTGGGTAAATCGCAGGGAAATCCCGCACGAGAGCGCGATTTTGAATAGATTGTGGGGAAGTATCAGGCGTGAGCCGTTGTTGTTGGAGTTCGGGGGCCGCCAATCCACTCTGAGGCGCAAGACGCTCCCTTGCAAAAAACCGGGTGCGAGCCGAGCCCCAGGGGGGGCACCTCAGTTGAAAAGCCCAGGGTCGACAAGGAGGGGGTGGATCAACAATAGTGGGTTTAAACAAATTAGAACTCGACGACGACGACGACGACGACGACGACGACGACGACGAGATCCGAAAGGTTGGCGGCCGAGGCGCTGCTCGGGGCGGCCACCCCTGGCCTCGCGGGGCCCGGCGGCGGCGCCGCGGCGGCGGCGGCGGAGCGGCTGCACCTCGGGGGGGCTGCCGCTCTCGCGCGGCGGCTCTCCGCGCTGCGGGTGCGCGGGAGCGCGGGCCGACAGGGGGGCTGCCCCCCCCCAGCCTCCACCCTCCCACCGCCACCTTCCACCCTCCTCCTCCTCCTCCTCCTCCTCCTCCTCCTCCTCCTCCTCCTCCTCCTCCTCCTCCTCCCCTCCTTTTCCTTATGAGTAACTCTTCCTCGTCGCACCCTGGGGTCAGTCGGAAGGGCGGGCCAGGCGTTTCGCCGGAGATTTCCTCACCACTGGTGAGCCTGAGGCTAAGGAGTTGGCCACAGCTTCACAGATGGAGGGCGGGTGGCTTGCAAAATGTGGCTCTCGGTTTAGCGCCGCGCACATTCAGTCGTTTCAAGAAGATGCAAGGCCTTCACAGATAGAGGGCGGCTTGTTTTCAAAATGGGGCTCTCACCTTTGCCCCGCGCACATTCGTTTCAAACATTTGCGAAAGCTTCACGGATGGAGGGCGGCTCGTTTTCAAAATGTGGTTATCGCCTCGGCGCCGCGCACATTCGTTTTGACAAGTTGCACGAACTATACGGGTTGAGGGCGGTTTGTTTTAAAACTTTGGTTCTCGCCTTAGCGCCGCGCACGTTCGTTTACAAAATTCGCAAAAATGTCATTGGTGTTAATGGCTGACTTGCCAGGAACTGCGTTTTGGAGCGATTCAGGAATGTCAGGGTGCAACAATTGCGTTGACTCGCGGTATTGAAGTCCCAGGAATGTCTTCTGGCACGACTCAGTATCGCCAAGACGCTACAGCCAGGTTGATTCGTGGCGTTGAAGTCATGCGAATGGAGCCTTCTGCTCCTCCCTCTTTTCTCCTCCTCCCCCCGCCCCCCTTCCGTCCTCTTCCTCATCCGTTTCCCGCCACTCTCCTCCTCTTCCTCCTCCTCTTCTTCCTCCTCCATCTCCTCCTCCTCCTCCTCCTCATCCTCTTCCTTTTCCTCCCCCTCTTCCTCCTCCTCCTCCTTCCATGCCTCCTCCTCCTCCTCATCCCCATCGTCCCCTCCTCCCCCCGCGCCCGTCCACCCTGTTCTTTCCCCTTCCACCTCCAACTTCGTCCACATCCTCTCTCCTCCTCCTCCTCCTCCTCCTCCTCCTCCTCCTCCTCCTCCTCCTCCTCCTCCTCCTCCTCCTCCTCCTCCTCCTCCTCCTCCTCCTCCTCCTCCTCCTCCTCCTCCCCCCCTCTCCCTCCTCCATTCCTACTCCTTAAGATTGGCTCGTCCTTGACGCACCCCGAGACGTAAAGTAGGGCGGGCCGGGCGTCTCGCCCGAGATGACCCCACCACTTGTGACCCCGACTTGTCGTCGTTGTCCTCGTCGTCGACGCTGTATTCGATGCGGTTCTCACGAGGGGAGAGATGATCTTTATGGTGGGGTGGCTTGCGGGTGGGATTGACGGCCACCGCAGGTGGTTCGTGGGCAAGTTGTAATCGTCACCACTTGCAGCAGCTTGGCGGATGGAGGGCGGGCCGTTTTCAAGATGCGGTTTTCGCTTCAGCGCCGCGCACATTCGTTTCCAAAGGGCGGAAGAGCTTCACGGGCGGAGGGCAACACATGTGGCGTTCGCCTCGGCGCCGCGCAGAGCCGTCGTAAGCCTGCCAAGGATTACATTCGCCACGCATCTTGTTATTGTCCGCTGTAGTCTCGCTATATGATGAATTTGTTTCACTGCTATTTGCATTTGTTTGGCGCTTCGGCCCCACCCTGCAGCACCCTCGCGGTGCATGAAGCAGGCCGAGTCCGAGTCCGAGTCCGAAGAGGTGCGCGGGTGGATGGCAGTTTTCAACATGTGACCCTCGCGCCAGCGCCGCGCACACTCCTTTAACCAGTACGCTCTGACGCACCCAACCCAATTGCATCAAGTGGCAGGAGGAGTGTGTCCAAACTTGCCAGGGCAGTCACAGTGCAGGCGCCGTCAGATGATGTGCATGGGATGTGCTCACCTTGTACGCCCCCGCAGGGCAACAGCAGAACGACGAGGAGCGAGGGCCCAGGCTTGAGGAGAACATGGGGGCAGGAACGACGGGCAGGAAAAGGACGCGCGGGGGGCCGAACAGTCAGCGCGGCACGAGCAGAAGGAAAGTGGCACGGGGCAGAAGACGGCGACGAAAGTTACGGGAGGAGCCCGAGAGTGTTGTTTGTGTCGGTAGCGCGATAAAGATGCAGCGTTGCATGCGCCATGTCGCCGCGGCGCTCGGCAACATGATAAAATCTGACCATAGATAGTGCAAGAAGCGAGCGGGGCCTAGCTCGCCCGCCAGCTTCGCAGCCCCCTAGCGATGGCGAGGTGTCCTGGTGGTCAGCGTAAAGCAGGACTCCGTTGGACCCCACAGCAGCCCTCGAAGGCGGCCACCGTTTCACACATCGCCGCCCTTTAGGGATAGCCCCCCCAGCAGCCCTCGAAAGCGACGACCGTTTGGCAAATCGCAGCCCCACAGTGATGGCGAGGTCTCCTCTGAACCTGTGTAAGACGTCATCCCGCTGGACCCCCCAGCAGCCTTCGAAAGTGGCGACGGCTTCGCAGATCGCACCCCCTCCCCGATGGACGGCGAGTTCGCATTTGAAGTGTGGTACAACGTCACTCCGCAGGCCCCCCCAGCAGCTTTCGAAAGTGGCGAGACACTCGCAGATCGCAGCCCCCCTGGGATGCCGAGGTCTCTTCTGAATCTGGGAAGTCGTCACCCCGCTGGACCCCAGCAGCCCCCAAAAGAGGCGACGGTTTCGCATATCGCACCCTCCCGAGGAATGGCGAGGTACCAGCTGAGTTTGGGCAATACGTCAGTCCGCTCGAACCCCCAGCAACTCTCGAAAGTGGCGACCGCTTCGCTGATCACAGCCCCACAGGGATGGCGAGGTCTCGTCTGATTCTGGGTAAGACGTCAGCCCGCTGGGTCCCCCAGCATTTCTCAAAAGTGGCGACAGCTTCGCAAATCGCAGCCCCACAGAGACGGCGAGGTCTCATGTGGATCTGGGCAGGACGTCGCTCCACTGGACCCCCCAGCAGCCTTCGAAAGTGGCGACACGTTTGCAGACCGCAGTCCCCCAGGGAGGGCAAAGTATCATCTGACCCTGGGTAGGATGTCAATCCGCTGGAACCCCCAACAACACCCGAAAGTGGCGAGAGATTCGCAGAGCGCAGCCACCCAGGGACGGCGAGGTACCATCTGAATCTGGGTAGGACGTCGCAGGCCCTGCAAGTACTGCGAAGCGCGTGCAAGAGCATGGCGACCTTGCTCACTCTAGCTTGCGCCGCCTCCTAGCAGTGAAGACGGAGGTGGCCAGCACGTTCAAGTGGCAGTCTGCATCCCGCGTTGGCCGTCCCCACGCCAGACCACGGGCCCTCTCTTCCTGTTGTACCCGTATGACCAGATTGTTGTGCATTTCGGAAGGGGAAGCGAGGTTTGTCAAATTTATGGTCGGCGTTTTTTGGTGGGGGCCTCCTGGGGAGGTTCTTTCCTGGGCCTTGCGATCGCCCTGAGTAATCATCGGCTCCCATCCTCCACCCATTGCGCGTGAACTGCGCAAGTATTCATACTTGGAACGTGCTGAGACGCATGATATGTTGTGAAAGATGTGGGGCGCACGCCACTGTCACAGCCCAGAGTTTGAACTTTGTGCAAAGCTCTGGACCGTCCTTTGAGAAAGCTGGGAAGGAGGTCCTGTCTCGTTTGTTCCGGGGCCTCGTCCCCCAAAGCGGTGGAAGCGGTCCTGCGATGTGATGTTTGGAACGCGCCCAGGCTTGGTCTTCACGGGCTTTCGGATTGAATCCTCCTCGTCCTCCTCATTCTCCTCCTCCTCCTCCTCCTCTTCCTCCTCCTCCTCCTCCTCCTCCTCCTCCTCCTCCTCCTCCTCCTCCTCCTCCTCCTCCTCCTCCTCCTCCTCCTCCTCTCCTCCTCCTCCTCCTCCTCCTCCTCCTACTACTACTCCTCCTCCTCCTCCTCATCCGCCTCCGCCTCGTCCTTCTTTTCCGCTTCCGCGATGTCGGAAGTCTGAGTCATCCTCCGACGTCGTGATTTTGTCACGACGTCGGAGGAAGACCCAAACCTCCTCCCTCCTGCCCCCCTTTTCCACCCTCTGGGGGAGCTGCCGGGGGATTTGATACTTGCCCGTTCGCTGGGCGTTCCCGACTCCTGTCTCTGGGGAGCCGAATGGCCACTTCGATTTGGCAGGCGCCGCACTTGGGCACCCCAAGGAGTAGTAGCCGCCAGTGTTACACCTGCTCGTTCGCAGCCAGATTGTGGGGAGACGTCTAAGCCAAACGCTGGTGTTGGCACCTCCGACTTGTCCCTCCCCCCCCAGTCTGAGTCCCAAAATGATCCCGATGTAGCTGTCACAGCACTTGCGCACCCCAAGGGGGAATCGCCAGGGAGCGACTCTGGCACTCAGACGTGCACAGTGGGAAGCGCGACGAAATGATGCGCAGCGCCAAATATTTCGTCGCGCCGTTTGTTCCGACGCGCGGCCTTGCGCCTTGGCGAGGGCGCCGCGGGCACCAGGGCAAACTCCGCCTCGGACACAGGGCACGCCTCGGACACAGGGCTTGCCGTGGGGTTTGCCGTGGGTGTGCCGTGGTGTCGGCGTCCTCCGTTTGGCCGAGAATAAACAGCGCGGCGATAGATGTTTTCGTGCGACGACTCCGCGTAACGCTCCCGCGCCCCCCTTGCCAACCAACGCCATCGGTTACTCCCACTTAGGCCCCCGCTCCTTTCGCTGAGTGTGGCATTTGCCCGCTCGCAGCCAGAGGTGATTGTCGTGGCACCCCCCCCGCTTCTCTCCGGCCAGAGCCCCAGGATCACCGCGATGCAGCAGGCGTCGAAGCGAAGCCGCGGTGTTATGATTGCCTGCTGTCGGCCACATCGTGGTGACTCGAGCGAACGCTGTTTTTGGCACCCCCGACTGCTCTCCCTCCAGAATCCCAAGACCATCCCGATGTAGCGGGCTCAGCACCTGCTCACTCCAAGGGGGAGCCGCCAGGGAGCGCTCAGTCACCACGGGCGAAGGTTCTCACACTCTTGCACTCGCAGTGGGAAGGGCTAGCGATGCGAATGCGTATGTGGACCTCCGCGTAGGGCAATCAAACACACAACGCTTGTGGCTGGCTTTTGTTTTCCATTGAGTTTCAAATTACGCTCAATTTCGGCGCCTGCGGCAGACTTTTCATGAACATGTTCGGTAAAATTCCAGATGTGGCCAGCAGGAGGTGGGCCGTGCCTATCTGTACATGTGGGGGGGGCGTGAATACTAGATTGGGTTCCTCCTCCTCTTCCTTTTGCCTCCTGCCTTCTCCTCCTGCCCCTTCTCCTCCTCCTCCTCCTCCTCCTCCTCCTCCTCCTCCTGCCTTCTCCTCCCTCCTGCCTCTACTTCTCCTCCTGCCCCTCCCCCTCCCCCCCCCGTCCCCACTCGGCAGGAGCGACGACGTGGGCGAGTCCCTGCCCCTCGTGGTGGGCGCGCTGTCCTTCCTGGCCCTCGCGACGTGCGCCTGGGCGGGGTGCCTCGTGCAGGGCTTCCGCGCCGCCGAGGCGGCGGAGAGGAGCAAAGCCTGCAGCAACAACAACAACAAAAAAAACATAACTCGGAGGAGCCTCGGGGGAGGGAGGAGAAGGGGGGAAGGGGGACGATGAGGAGGAGGAGGAGGAGGAGGAGGAGGAGGAGGCGGAGAAGTAGGAGGAGGAGGTAGCAAAAAGGCAGTCACAGACCAGAGGAGCCTCGGAGGAGGAAGCTCGAAGAAGAAAAAACGCTCTACATCTAAACTTGTGTCGCTCCGCGCGGAGCGCCAAAAGTTTATGTTTATGTGTTTTTCCTTCTTCCAGAACCGGTACCATCTCGTTTTCGTTTGTTTGGGCCTCCTGAGAGGCCCTCGTCGCCACCGCTGGATTCGCCTGGAAACTTTGGTCAGGCCGCACCCGGGGAGAGGCCCCGGGAGTAGCGGTATGGGTATTCTTGTTCCCGCCAAGTCGCAAATACCGTAGCACCCCACAGTTGCGGATAAGAGTGAGGGGGCGGCGGGTACATCGGCAGTCTGCGAGGCTCTGAAGAAGCCCGCCGCAGGCGCAGAAGTTTTCAAGCTATAGAGCGAGCCCGCCGCAGGCGCCGATTTTTGTTAAAACAATGTGAGTGGGTCACGGGTTGGGTCGCAGGTGGGTCGACGGTGGGTCGCGGGTGGGTCGCGGGCCGGGTCGCGGGTGTGTCGCGGGTGGGTCGCGGGTGGGTCGCGAGTGGGTCGCGGGTGGGTCGCCGGTGGTTCGCGGGGTGTGTCGCGGGTGGGTCGCGGGTGGGTCGCGGGGTGGGTCGCGGGTGGGTCGCGGGGTGGGTCGCGGGTGGGTCGCGGGTGGGACGACGACAACAAACAACAGCAACAACAACAACAGTCATTATAAGATGGTTCGTTCTTAGTTGCTCGTGTGTCATTCAAAACGAGTTCCCCACACCCTCGATACCGGCCCTTTTGTCTTCGATCACGCCCCCTTTGGGGGGATTCTTCCTCTTTTCCTGGGGCGGCGGGCATAGACAAGCGGGCAAACCTGAACCGGCGGACAATTCGTCGTGGGCGTACATGTGCCCGCCATTGGAATTGGTGTGGGCCCTGCAAACAGAGGAGGGGGAGAGCGAGGGAGAGCGGGAGGAAGGGACGGGGAGGGACGAAGGAAGAGGGAAAACGCCAGGAGAGAAGGAGCGAATAGGGGGGTGGTTGATTAGAGGCACAGAGAGAGAGGGAAAGACAGATAAGAGAGGTAGAGAGAGGGGAGAGAGAGAGAGAGAGAGAGAGAAAGAAAGAAAGAAAGAGGAAGGAGGCAGGAGAGGGGAGGGAGAAGGGAGGAGGGAGAGGAGAGAGAGGGGATAGGGCAGAGAGGCACAAGGATGAGGGAAGAGAGGAGGGAGAGAGAAGGGAGGAGAGGAGGGAGGAGGGAGGAGGGAGAGGGAGGAGGAGCAAGAAGGTAAGAGCGTGAACGTTCGAGGAAGTCCTAGGCGAAAGCGCCGTTCCTGAAGGAAGTCTCGGGCGGAAGCCCACGACGGGCGGGCGATCCCCTGACGGGCGGGTCGGGCGGGTGGGACATTCAAGCGGGATGCTTGGGTATGGCGAGAGCGCGAGTCCTAAGTAAATTGTGACGGCGTCCTTGGCGCAGCGTGTTTTTTTTCCTGGGCGTCGATCGAGTGATTTCTGAATACATTGCATGGCGGTCACAAGCGAGAGCGCATTTCCTGAATAAAATTTGAAGGTCTCTCTGGCGGGAGCGGGGGTCTTGATACAATTGCCAAGAAGTTTTGATTCAATTGCGAGAAGTCTCCAGAGGGAGCGCCGTTCCTGAGTAAATTGTGAGGAAGTCTCAGATGGGAGCGGGGGTCCTGACTAAATTGCTAGGAAGTCACAGGCGGGAGCACCGATCCTGAGTAAATTGCAAGGAATTCTCAGGCGGGAGCGGGGGTCCTGAGTAAATTTTGAGGAAGTCTCAGGCGGGAACCGTTGTTGTTGTAATCCGGGGGGCCAGGGGCGCAGTTTGAGCATCAAGAGTTTCTTTGACAAAAAACAGGGTGCGAGCGTCGAGGGGCACACTTTGATTGAGAAAAAACAGCATGCACCGGTGAGGGGGACCAACAATGATCATTCTTCAGAAATATAAAGTTCAATGACAACAACAATAACAACAACAATAACAACAACAACAACAGCAGCAGCAACAACAACAACAACGCAACAAGTAAGCAAAATCGTCACCACGGGCTTTTACTTTAGCCACGCACCCACGGACAATGAATGACCCTTCGGCCCCCTCGCTCTGATTTGTTTGAGGCCAACCAGGAGGGGTTTTGGTCTTCAGACCAACCTTATTTGACCCATGTCAAGGAATCCACTCGTGGCCAAGGCTCGCCGTGGCCAGAGCGGCCCCTTCCGTTCTTTGTTATGATGGTAGCCCGATGACTGTAGCAGCGAGGAGCGGAATCATGATGCAGTCGACATCGATAATAAAGAGGGGCAACCTTCCCAAGGGTAACCTTGCATCCTTGCCTTTTCCGGCCGGCCTTACCCCCTTTTGATTGCCGGCCCCGCTCGCAAAGCTTCGGCGTGGGCGTCCACCGGGCTTGCATCCTTCTCGCGGCGTGTCGCGCGTCCTTGCTATCAGTTGTGACTCTAGCTGGGGATGCGAAAGCAGCAGTTGCTCAGGTGCTGCTCGCGCCGAGCTGACTGGCCGACCCGACGACCTGGCGTCTATTTCGGGGCCCCCCCACCTCTGCTCGAGGAGGGCCAGTCCCTACTGAGAGCGCCCCGGGCCGCGCTGGGGAGGGACGAGGATGACGAGGAGAAGGAGGAGGAGGAAGAGGAGGAGGAAGAGGGAGGAGGGAGGAGGGAGGAAGGAGGAGGGAGGAGGGAGTTGGAGGAGGAGGAGGAGGAGGAGGAGAGAGAGAGGAGGAGGAGAGGAGGAGGAGGAGGAGGAGGGAGGAGAGGAGGAGGAGGAGGAGGAGGGGGAGGAGGAGGAGGAGGAGAGGAGGAGGGGAGGAGGTGGGAGGAGGAGGGAGGACCCGAAGCCTCGGCCGGGTGGTCGGGGAACCAAAAAACAGTAGCAGAACCTTCTGGATGTCCGCGCGGATTTCTCGGAGCAGCACTACCGCCCCTTGGCGGTGCCTCCAGCGCCGCCCTTGGCGTGCTCTGCGCGCCACGGAGAGGTTGCCCAGCACCGGTCCAAGAAAATCGCGCGGACATCTGACAGTCGATGCTCATGTCATTCGAGTGGAAGAGGAGAGGAGGACGGAGGGGACAGGCGGCAGGAGAGGGGAGGAAGGGGCTCCGCCATTGGAGTCCCAGCCCCAGGTGCTCTAGCAGTGCGGCGGTTTCACGAATGGGCAGTCCCAAGGTAGCAGTCCCAAGGCAGTTTGTGCCTAAACCAGAGCGGGATTCTTGTGCACATTGACGGGAGGTCGTCGGTGAGAGTGCGCTTCCTGAGTGGCGACAGCGCAGCTCCTCGGCAAATGGTTGCGAAGTCAGGCGAGACCGCGGTTTCCGAGCACATTGCAAGGAAGTCTCAGGCGGGAGGCGTGGACGTGGTTGTTGCGCCCAGGGGTCCAGCAACGCTGCTTGAGGATGAAAGCCGCCCTCGACCGAAAAAAAAATACCGCATGCGCGTCGAAGGACGCTTCGATCGAGACAAACGAGGCGCACCGGCGGAGTGTCCATGCCGCACCCTGACCTTCCAGGGGTGCTACACGTGGCACCAGGGCCTTTGAGTTCAAATCGCAGCGAGGGCCCTAACAGACCTGACGACAGGTTATAATGAGGTCTCGATGGATGTTGTTTGCACTCTGGAAGGCCAGGGCAGATCGCTGAGGTCACGTGCTCTCAATGTGGGCGTTGTTGTTCCTCGATTTCGGCCTGTGGGGCCCGTTCCTGGGCGGGGGGTCATCGAGCATTAATCTGGGACGAAAAACTACGCCCAGAGAAGAGGTCGGGATCTTTTGGGAGCCGCGCTTTGAGAAACAAACAAACAAACAAAAAAACACGTCGGATGTCTGGGTCCGAAAATGCACTTCAGAGTTGGTTGCTCAATACGGCGGGGGCGTTCGGAAGGAACGTGCCCAGGAGGCTTGTGACCCTGGAGGATTCCTTATCTGATGAGGGCGGTGTTGAGATCCATGGCCAGTCCACGATTGGAGACTGGAGTTCCACCTGCTTCCAGACTTTGGAGTACTTCCCCATTGGTTCATCATCCAATGCCCTCTTCGTAGCAGATCTCGCCCGCCGAGGTGGAAGGGGTGCTGCCCCTGGCGGAGGGCGAGGAGCTCCCGCATCCGGGCGTTGGCAGGAGGTGCCCTCCTGAATCCCCCTGACGCTCGGTGGTTCGAAGATGGGGTCCTGAGGGATGAGGTGCTAAGGATCAGCGGCGAGCGCTGGTATCAAAATCTTATTTTTTAGGGCAAGGAATCCATTTGGAATAATTAAAAAGACTTATATTTAGAATAAAAACCAGTTACATTGCCCAATTTTAATTTATGATTGGGGGAAGCGAGATGGGAAAGGCCCTCTCAGAGGGCGGCGGGACTTCTCGGAAGCTCTGCGGCCTTGTGAGAAGTGCCTTGTGTCGCTGGGGACGGCTTAGAACGTTTGTCAGAAGCCTGGGGAAATTCCGAGCCTTCCGAGAAGGCCCGCCCCTTCTCACTCCCCCACCTCGGTCGCCGCCGATCAAAGATGTGGACCTGGGGGATGGGGGGCTAAGGACGAGGTGCCTCAAACGGCGTAAATCCACCCTTGGATCTCTTCTCATTCTTGGGCCCCCATCCCTCAGGACCCCATCTTTAAGCCACCGAGGCCCCCTGCGGCTCGGACAGACCACGCCAGAGACCTCCTCACAGCTTCCGGCGCCCAGGGGGGCTGGCTCCGCTGCCCGGCGCGCGCTAGAGGGCACCTCGGGGTGCAAGACCAGCACGCAGAGGGAAGAAGCCGAGAGGACCTGGAAGTCAGAGGAAGAAAAGGTATTCACACTTCTATCATTCGCCCGTTTCCCCTTTTCTGAGCCTCCTCGGAGGCCCTCGTCGCCACCATTGGGTTCGCCTTGAAGTCCTGGTCAGAGCGCACCCAAGGGAGGGGCCCGGGGAGTAGCGGTACTGGTCGGGCATCCGACGATGCCGTCTCTTGAGTGCGCAGCCCCGAAGGTCCCGACTTCTTCCCGGGGGGCGTAGTTGATGGGCCTGTTTTCCACCACCACCACCACCACCACCATAAGTTGTTGGATGGGGGGAAGGAGGAAATCGACGAGGTGGAGGAGGAGGAGGTGGAGGAGGAGGAGGAGGAGGAGAAGGAGGAGGCCCCCCTCCCCCTCCAACATATGGCGGTGGTGGTGGTGCAAAACCGGCCCATCAGTAGTGTGTCATCGCAGAGCAAGATGAGAGGGCCCCGGGGCCCAGCAGCGGGGGTCTGGGGAGGCACCCGTGGCCTCCACGCGCCCGGGCCACGGGGCCCCGAAGGCGCGGAGAGGCCCCGAGGCCCAGACACCCCGACGTTCGGAGTTGCCCACAGCGTGGACCGCCGGCGGTCTCGACCCGTCCCCCAGGACCGGCTTCTCATCCCGAGTCGTTGTTCGATGGCCCTGGGTCCCGGCGAAGGCCCCCAGAGGCCGAGTAGATGTATGTATGTGTATAAAGGTGTTTGTATATGTAAATAAATACGTGCCGGCCTACCTTCCTACCTGCCGACCGACCTACCTACATGCATACATACATACAGACATGCATACACATGCACATGCACATACACATACACATACATATACGCATGCACATACACATACACATACACATACACATACACATACACATACATCCATCCATACATGCATACAACCATACGTACATACATACATACATACCTACATACATGCATGCATACATACATACATATGTTTGTACATGTTTCAAAACATGTCGCCTTTTGTTCACTACGCGGGAGTCTTGGGAGGGGGGCGGAAGGCCGAAGGGACGCCTCGGGACTTGGGCACCTCCTGCCGACACCCGGCGCATGCCGACGCGGTGCGCGCGTTCCGCCAGAGCCTCCGCGGGCGCGACCACGACCGCCGCCAGCAGCGGGGCGCGGCGTGCTGCTGACCGCCAGACATGAAACTGAACTGGGGCTGCCAGTCCTCAAAGCAAGTGGTTAGGCAGAAAAGGGCGATGTACGGCCGGCAGGCCACGCATGAGCCCACCAGCACCAAAGTTGGCTAGATGATCGGCCCCGTCGTTCAAGAACTGCGCAGCGTGGGACTGACATTTCTGCCAGATTACGTGAGGCGTTCCAAAAATGGCGGCTTTTCCTTCGAGGATCGAAGGAATTGTCATCTCTTCATCGGCGGAAGGGCGGCGGGAGGTCTGCGGAAGTCGAACGAGGCCGCCTCCGCGGCGGAAGCCGGCGGAAGGGCCGCGGAAGAGGTAATAAATGCGTCCCGAAGCAATGAAAACGTTTTTGGGGGTTAGGGTTCCTGGAATCCGCTACGTAGAGAGCAACTTGATCCGAGGTGTGGCGCGCCTTCAGGACGAGCCTCATGTTGCTGACCGCCACTCCTCCTCGGGAGGAGCGAAGGGCCCAGAGCTCCGACGGGCAGTGCGCCTCCACGGGCCCCCACACCCCCATCGCGCGGGCCGAGCGTCGAGCCTCGAAGGTCGAGGCTCTTCGGGTTGGGCCTCTGGAGGGCTTCTCGTCGCCACGGCTGGGTTCGCGTCCAAGCTCTGTGGGGTCGGCTTGCGACCACCGGGCCCAGACCCCCCGAAAGTCAGGCGATCGCTAACATGGATCAAGGGGGCGTGGATTAGCGACGGGTCCCGTTTCCATGAGAAATCACTGATTTCCGCCGCCGAACGAGGCAGCACCGGCCGCACTTCGGGGAGGGCACCTCCCCCGATCCGTGGATTAGGTGACCGCGCGCCAAATCCATGGATCGCTAATCCACGTTTGCGCGCCCCCGACAAATCTCCGACGTTCCTAGGGTCTGCTTGCGTCCCCTCGCAATTTTGCTTGGGCTTCTGGCAGCGGGAGGGGTTGCTTTCAAAACAAAGCGGCAAGGACATGAAAGCGCCTCCAAAAAGGGGGTCAGCCGTTCCCTAGGCTTTTATGACCTCATTCTGGAAAAGGGGCTTCCCCCCTGATTCAGCGCTCCTTCTGGCAGTGCCATGACTGCACCCTCGGGGAAGAGGTTGGGACCCATGGGGCCGCGCATTGACAACATAACTCAGGAGGGAAAAACACACACACAGACACAATTAATCGGCGATTCCCCAGAAAATATGGGAAAATATGGGAAGTGGGGGGGAAGACAGAAACACAGAAAATATGGGAAAATATGGGGAATCATTTTATTTGTGTGCATTTATTTGTGTGTCCTGGGGCCCCTTCATCAGGGGGGAACGCTGGCCCGGCATCGGCGACACACCACCTACAGAACAGCGAGCTGTCCTCGGACAGCGAAGGCGCAGGCGCCCGCGCGGCCGGGGGTTCGGGGAGCCCGGGGCCCCGATTGTAGACGGCAGGAGGAGGAGGAGGAGGAGGAGGAGGAGGAGGAGGAGGAGGAGCAGGAGGAGGAGGAGGAGCAGGAGGAGGAGGAGGAGGAGGAGGAGGAGCAGGAGAAGGAGGAGGAGGAGGAGGAGGGCGATCGAGGTCGATGCCGCTCCCCTGGGCCTGTCCCCGCTGACGTTACCCCCCTATTTTTCGGAGTGTAACTCGGCTCTCCGGCGGTTCTTCCGATACCTTGGCCCCCCCCGGACGCCGGCCACGAGGCACAGCCGTTGAAAGCCGGAAGACTACCAGGAACCGACGAGAGCGTCCGAAAACCTTGAGCCTCCAACCCTATCCGCCCCCCCCACCCCTCGAGGCCTCTCCCCCCCCCGAGGGCCAGCATCCCCCTGACTATGCCCCTGACCTCCGCGCGGGGCCAAAGCGCTGGCGCCCCCTGCCGCGGCGTCCGCCTCGGAGGGGGAGGCGCCGCGGACGAGATCCAGAGCGGGAGGCGCCCCATCTCCGTCGAGCCACGGGCCCTTCTCGCCATGCGAGGGAAAAAATCCCGTCGCGTGCGCGCCACCCCTTTGGGCCGGTTTGGCTCATGCTCCTCCTCATCTTCAGCAGCATCGTCATCGCCACCATCATCATAGGACTATAGACCGCCGCTTGCTACCCTGACTGTCACCGGCTGCCACCCTTCATTACCCTGGGTCCCATGGTACAAACAAAACATCAGCATTAGCAGCATCATCATCATCAGAATTATCATCGTCATCATCATCAGCATCATAGTCATCATCATCAGCATCATCATCATCATCATCATCGTTAACAGTATCAGTATCATCATCATCATCATCATCAAAATAATTGTCATCGTCGTCGTCGCGACCGTCGTCTTAACCGTCATCACCCATCAACCATCACCATTGTCATCGTTATCAGAGTCATAACCATCATCACTGTCATCGTCATCGCCGTCGTCATCATCACCCTCATCCTCCTCATGCCTTCGGAGATTGGTAGAAACCCGCCCTGCCAAGCCGGTCGATCAGCGAATTGTTTTATGTTTGTTTTCTCGAGGGGACTGCGCGCCTGACTGCTGCTGCCCCCCCCTCAGTTGCTCATCGTCGAAATATTCGACGTCTGAGCGTCCCTTCTTCCTCTCGGCCATCCCCCTCCTGCCCTTGCCCGCCGGCCAATTCGCTAGTTAGCGCCCCTTTCTAACTTCTCGCTGGAGCGGAGTTCGCCGCCTCACCGCCGACAAAAAAAGTGTTCTCGAGGGGGCGTTGCGGCCACCATTTGTTGCGGCCTGCATCCGCCTGGTTTGGTCTCGAATCCTTTTCTCGGAAGGGTGGTTTGCAAACGGGGTGCCTGTCCGCTCCCGATTATCCTCCTCCTTGTCCTCCTTCTCGTTGTCATGTTGGCTCGGGCCATTTGTGTTTGTGCTGGTCACTGTTGGCTTGTCAATGGTACCAGGTCTGTAGTATTCCTATGGTGATGGTCCGTAAAGTTATCAAACATTCTTCATTGAAGTCCAACGGTTCGAACAAAAGGTCCGACTGTTGCGAAACCCTCAGCTACCTAGCAACAAACTACTTCCTCGCGGGGATCATATGAAGTTTGGCGACGATCGGCCGCGAAAGGTTGAACACCTGCGAGGGGACATCCGGCCGCAGGAGGGTGAACAGCCGCGAAAGAAAAAAAACTGCGATGCAAAGAAGATAAGATCAGCATCGAGAGCGCGATATTTAGTTGCGAAAGGATCACCAGCCACATGTTGATGAACTGCCACGTGGGGGCGATCTGCTACGTGTTGATGGTGATGATCAGCCTCGAGCAGATGAGAACTGCGTGCAGGCGAGCAGATTCGAGATGGCATTCGGGATGGTCATGATCAGTTGTGCGAGATCGGGCTGCGTTGCGAAGACGATCGTCCACGATTGCATGATGCTCAGCTGCGAGGGGATGAGCAGCCACATGGTGACGATTCGGGGATGGGACGAAGAGCCAAGAGACGAGAACCTGCCGCGTGATCATGAACAGCAGCTAGGAGATGATCAGCCTCGTGATGTTGTCGCACAGCCGCGCGATGATGCACAGCCGCGTAAGCACGAGCTTCGGCCGCGTGAAGACGAGCTTCGTTGTGAACACATGCAGCCACGTGTACACGCTGTTCGTGTACGAGAAAATGCCCAGCCACACGTGGATGAACAATTGCGTGAAGACGATGAGCCACGATGTGATGATCATCCGCAAATCGATGAAGACGAGCTTCGTAGTGATTTGATTATCAGCTCCGTTGCAATGATGATCAGTCGCGAGACACTGAACTACAGCAAAATGGAGAGTTTCCGTGTGATGATGCCTGGCCTAGGGTACATGATGTCTTGTTGCGAGAGGACGGTCAGCCCGACGTCCGTGAATCACCGCGTGAGGACGATCAGCCTCGAGCCGAAGACCACCCGCGATGAGGTGAACAATTGGGACAGTAGCCTTGTGTTGTTGTTCCGCACCGAGTGGATGAACCAGACGGGGAGGACACGACCGGTCATGTGCAGGTGCGCTGCACATCTGCCCACGGTGAACATAGTTGTCGTCTACCATGGATGGCGGCACGATAGGGCATCGATCTCTGGCATGTGTCGGCATTTGGGGCTCTCCATTTCTGAGGCGCATCTGCAACATGTCCTTGACAGCGACTAGGAACAGGGTTTGCTGATGGCTGGCCTTGCAGAAATGGCGGCAGCAGCTGGACTCTTGACCTTGACGAACGAAGTGAAGCCATGGATTCGCAAGGCGAGGTGCGACCTATAAGCGCCGTGGCATGCAGCGGCAACTATCCAATGAACGGTAGGCGGCAGATGTGATGGCCAGCTTGGTAGTTCAATGTGACAAACGCCAGTTTGGTAATTAAATGTTGTGTAGTGCGTTGAGGTGCGCTGTGATGTATCAGATATGTTGTTGGCAATCGGACGGCTCCCGGTTCTTATGACTGCGCACCACCGCCACCTTCTCGGTGTCGTCATCCGTCTCGCGCTCCTCCGCTCCTCCTGGAAGCTTCGTCTCCCCATCCCCCTCCCACTCTTTCTCCTTCCGCTCAATATATTCCCCCTCCGTCTGCTGCTCCTCCTCCTCCTCCTCCTCCTGTTCCTCTTCCTCGTCCTCCTCCTACACCTCCTCCTGGGGTCGAATAGTCGTCCCAGGTCGCTTCGCAAAGTCTCACCATACGCAGTCCAATGAAGCACCCCAGACGTGGTACCCTGCAAGAGGAAGGAGGCCTGCGAGCAGGAGGATGAGCAGGATACCCCAGGCCTCATTGTCCTCCTCTGTCTCTTCCTCCGCATCGTCCATGTACCGCCCAAGCCCACGCAGTTCCTTGCCCGTGGTTGGCGTCCGCGAGGGGCAGAGTGGGTGCAAGTGAGAAGGAGCGCGAGAAAGGGAAGTACAGGGGGAGAGGGAGGGGGAGGAGAGGGGGAGGGGGAGCCGTTTGAGAAGGAGGAGACTGGAGGACGATGGGGAGGAGGAGGCGTAGGAAAAGGATACATGCCAGAAGTGGGGAACACTAGATGTGCACGGAGGGACTGAGGCCGGAATTGGGAGAGGTGTTGGTGGGCATGGGGTTGTCAGGAGTGGGCGTGGGACAGGGTGTGGTAGCTGCCGCAGTTTGTCTTTCTCCCTCCCCGCCTTCCTCCTTCCCCGTGCCACCCTCAAGCTTCATATCCTCTCCGATCTCCTCGGTGTCCCCATCCTCCTCCTCCTTCCCAACTGCGTACAAGCAAGTCCCCCTGCCGCGCCACCAGACGTGTCCGTAGGCCTGGCCGAATGTTTCGTTTGGGACTTCCTTATACCTGATCACCCTGAAGCCAAAGAACTCCAACAATCACAAGGACGCAAGGATGGAGGCTCGGTGGTTTTCAAAATGCGGCACTCGCATTACCGCCGCACGTGTTAGTTCTCCAGGCACCCTGCAGTTACTACAAAGATGGGGGGCCTGTGGTTTTCGAACTGTGACTTATGGCTCATCGCTGTGCGCATTCGTTGCAAAACAACATCCAACAATTATAAGGATGGAGGCCGCGACGTGTTCAAAATGCGGGTCTCGCCTGGTACTACAAGTTATACGACCCGAGGTTCCACATTGTGCAACAGCCACACGGATGGAGGGCGGCTCGTTGTCAAAATGGGGGTCTTGCTTGAGATGTCCGAAAGTTGTATGGCCATGCCGCTTAGGTTGTACAAGACTTGGAGGTCAGGTCCATGTTCAAACGGGGCTAATGCTCTCGCAGGGCCTTACTTGAATTTGATCGCCGTACCTCTCTAAGCCCATTCCAGCTAGATGGGTTGACGGTGGATCCTTTACACCAGAAGGGGTCCCGCTCGAGTGGCAGGCGAAGAGGGTGCTCGTCAATCACGAGGTTCGCTTCCCGCTGTGGCACGGAATACGTGCAGGGACCTGTGAGGAGGGGACTCGGGACGGGAGCACGTGCTGCAGCACCGTTGATGCATCTTGGCTGTTCTCGGGTCCTCCCTTCTCCTGCTCCTCCTCATCTTTCCTCCGCTCGTCCGCCCTCGCTCCGCCGCCTCAATGGCCCCTCCGACCCCCTCTGCATATCCATCCTCGTCTAGTCAACGACGCCCCATACGACGACGACGACGACGACGACGACGACGACGGCGACGGCGGGACGGGCCCCCGGGCGGAACAGGCCGCTGGGCCGGGCCCCGCCGGGCGACCGCCCGCAGGCCCCCCGGGGGGCGGAGGAACCCACCGTCCGTCCAGGGCAGGCCCTCGCGGGGGGCAACGCGAGGGTTTTCGGACGCTCTCGTCGGTGCCCGGACGTTTTCCAGTCTCGGGTTCGAGGTTCGAGGTTCGAGGTTCGAGGTTCGACGCCGCAGGGGCAGATCAGGTTCGAGGTTCGAGGTCTTCGGGCGTTCCAGTCGATTCCTGGACGTTTGCCAGCCTCGGGGGGTGCGTCCCACCAGCTGCGCCTCGCCGAGGGCGTGTCGGGGGGTGCACGGCTCGTGCCGAACGGCCGTCCAGGGCAGGCCGTCAGGGGCAGCGTTCGGGGGGGGGGGGGGGGGGGGGGGGGGGGGCAGAGGCTCAGCGTCGGTGCGGGGCCACGTTTTCAGAGGGAGGCAGATCTCCAGGAGCAACGACGTTTTCGAACGTTCTCGTCGGTTCCTTGGCGGTTTTCCGGCCTCGGGGTGCGTTCCGGCAGCTGCGCCTCGCCAAAAGGGCGTTGGGGGTGCCCGGGTCGTCCCGAACGGGCGCCTGAGAGCCGAGCTGTGGCCCGAAAACCAGATCCAGCCAGTGGCGAAAACCAGATCCAGCCAGGGGGGGTGGTGGAGGCATCAATTGCCAGCCTCGAACGTATCCCTATCCCTAAGATTGACACGCCAAAAAAAAGGCGGTGACGATCTTCGGGATTCGCCCTCAAAAAATAAGGGAATCCCTGAGATTGGCATCGTGATGAGGAGGTGCCCAGCATAGGGATAGGGATATGTTCCAGGCTGGCAAATCAACCCCCCGATCGCCCACTGATCGCCGAGAGGGGCCCGACAGCCCACCCCGCCCAGGACCGCTCGGAGTTGCGATCGGGGGCACGTCGCCAGCCGTCGACCCATCGGCGATGTCTCGACGATTCCAGGTTGATGCCCCCCCTTGAACTCAGCGAGCGAACAACGGTATAAAATAAACTTTTTCGCTGTCGGGGGCGCCTGTCCCTGGGCGGCTGGAAAGTCTATACCCCTACGGTGCCACCGTAAGGGTATAAACTTTCCAGCCGCCCAGGGACAGGCGCCCCCGACAGCGAAACAGTTTATCTTCTACCGCTGTTCGCCCGTTAATGAACCAGCCCCACCTTACCGATGCCCCTCAGGAGGAAGGAGGAGGGAGGACCAGGGTAAGCCCAAGACGTGTCAGCGATGCTGCACTGCGCCCGACCTCCGCAACCACGCATGGACCCTGCCACTGCTGGTCTGGTCGACACTGGGGTGCTGGGGTTCGCTGGGCTGCAGGCATCCTTCGAATTCTGGACCCGGGCTTGTTTTTGTAAAAATCTGACCTGCAGAGGCGTTCGTCCGTGACTGGGAGGGAGGAGGCTGTTGTGCGTGCTCCTGGCCCAAAGGGGGGGGGGGGCTGTCTCGGGACACCTCTGCGAGCCCCTGTGGCCTGCTGAGTCTCCCCAGCCGCCCTCGTGTCGTGAACAAATCGCGACCGCAGGTGTTGTGCTACTTTCGGCCTCTGGAGCCCTTCTTGGGCCTCGAGGGGGGAGGGGAGGGGAGCAAGGGGGGGGATCCCCCCCCCCTTGCTCCCCTCCCCTCCCCTCCACCTCCCTCTCCTCGCCCCGCCCTTGCGGGGGGATCCCCCCTCGACCCCCCCCTGGAGGGGATCCCCCCCCCTCCACCTCCCTCTCCTCCCCTCCCCTCCCCTCCCTCCACCTCCCTCTCCTCGCCCCGCCCTCGATGGAGGGGATCCCCCCCTCTCTTCTCACGCCTGGGGCCCGCCCGCCCCCCCCCCCCCCTCTCTGAGCACAGCGAGTGTCACGCCAGAGGCGCCGCCTGCTCGGAGGGCGGCGGGGGCATCTCAGATGCCCTCCGCCCCTTCCGAGGCACGCCCTCCCTCTGCCTCCCCCCCTTGGGCGCCCCGCCGCCTCGTCCTCCCTCCCTCCCTCCCTCCCCCTCCCTCCATTTCCCCCTCCCCACTTTCCCCTCCCGTCCCTTTCCCCTCCCTCTGCCCCCCTCCCTCCTTCCCCTCCCCGGCTCCTTCCTGACCCCGTCGCCCGCCCTCCCCCCCCCCCCTCTCCCTGAACAGGCGGGGGGGGAGGAGGGGCGGGCGAGGGGAAGGAGGGGGAGGGGGAAGAGGGGGGATAGTAGGGAGGGAGGGGGAAGGGAGGGAAGGAGGGGGAAGGGGGGGAGGAGGGGACGGAGGTAGGGGAAGGGAGAGAGGGAGGATGAAGATGAGTTCGGCGGGGCGCCCAGGTCCGAAGGTAGAGGGTGCAGGCCTTCTCGCCCCCCATGTGAGGAGGGGCAGGAGGGGACGGGGGGGAGGGGCAGAAGGGGGAGGGGGCGAGAGGGGGAGAGAGAGGGGGATTTGGAGAGGAAGGGGGATTTGGGGGAGGGGGGAGGGAGCAGGGGGGTGGCGGGAAGGAGGGGGGAGGGGGAAGTTCCCCTCCCCCATCCCTCATCTTCCTCTTCCTCTTCTCCTCCTCCTCCTCTCCTCCTCCTCCTCCTCCTCCTCCTCCTCCTCCTCCTTCCCCCCATCCACAATTACACAAAATGAATACTACTCTACTCTCTCCCCTGATGACGTCCAGAAGATGTCCGGCACCCCTCCGTGTATATTGTTTTTTACGCACGTCATTCCCGGGGCATGGGTTTTCGTTTGGGTTTTCTCAACATTGTGTTCCCGCTGAAGCGCGGACCTCATTTTCGGCCTTCCGCTCGTTCCGAATCGTGCTCCGGTTATTCCAAAACGTGTTCCCGCTGCAGCGCGGGCGTTTTCGGTCCTTCCAAAAAGCACCACATCTAGACAATTACCCCCAGAAAAAAAACATCGCAAGTGTTTGCACATCCGGTGTCGATTCGTTGAGTTTCTGGGCCGCAGATGCCACCCCTACTTCGGGGCGGCGGCGTTTGGAGAAAGAGCCCCGTTTCTGCTTTCAGAAGGCGATGTTGCAAGCAGAGCCAACAGGTGCTCTCCATAAGCCCCGCCTTGCAAGGAGCTATTTGCGGAGCCCAGGGAGCTAAACATGGAGCCGCAACTCCTAACTGCCCCAGACCCTTCGAAGACAATCCATGTGCCCTCCAAGGAACCCGGTGCCCTGCCATGACATGATGTGCGGTGTTCTCTTCTGCGCCGGTGTGCGATGCCATGATTTGTGTTGCAATACTTTGTGATGCAATGCTTCGCTGCGCATTGCCACGCCATGCTATGACATTCTACGCTCTGCCGTGCTCTTCTACGCCATGACGTGCAGCGCTCTGCGATGCATCGCGCACCCTCTCACGATCATTGCCTTGCTCGACATCCGACTGTGCGAATAGAGAGGAGATCC